TGGGCACCTATCTGCTGACAGAACTGGCAAAACTCAGAGACAAGTATGAGATTATCGGTGATGTGCGTGGAAAAGGCCTGCAGATCGGTGTGGAAATGGTCAAAGACAAGGTATTGAGTTTGTAACAGAAGTGGCACTCACCTCCCCTCACGTGCTCAATCAACGTGTGTGTCTGTGCTGTTTCCCCCTGGGGCAATGGTTCAGCAGTGCCCCAGTTAACCATTAGCCGGAGCAGCAGTGACCATCTGTAATTTATGAAGAGAACAATCTCAGTTGCAGTGCATGTAGTACTGACTGAAGTTTCTTGTTGAAAGTATTGCATTAAAATAGATCCAGCAAAAGGAAGAGCCAGTACAGAAACATTTGGTAAAATAAGACCAGAAGTAATTACAGATTTGGGGGAAATGTTCAGTTTTGTCTTTTGTTTTTTTTATTCTGGCAAATATCCTGCTGTGTCAGTTTTGTTAAGTGTCTAATTTAAACCAATGTTCCTCATTGTTTTCCTGTGTTTCGTATATATAAACATGGTTTGTGAGGTAGAAGGATTCTGGCTCTCTAACTCCATATTTTGCTTTCTTTTTTTTAACCCTGGAAACACATGCAGTATCTGTCTGCAATAAACACAACATAATGTAAAGTAACAAGGACATTGATTTCAGAATGTATAATATAGCAAATATAGGACAACTGCAATGGCTAGAAAAAATTGTTAACTTGGATGTTGTCCTTTTTATTCCATCTCATTTCCATCTGATTATACGGAAATGTTATGAAACACCCTTCATGATATATTGATTCAATGTAAAAAATACAGTTCAGTTTACAGTTAAAATAATAACTGATTGACCATGAGATGAACGTCTTATTGCTTGAGGACACCTATTGACATCTGTAATTGGCCTGGAAATTGAAAATGTAGTTGACTTAGTTACTGTATACTCACTGTGGTTACTGTAACACATCCTCACCTCTTCTCTTATCATCCACAGGCCAGCAGGGACCCGCTGTCTCCTGAGGCAATGGGTGAGATCTTTGAGGACGTCAAGGACATGGGAGTCCTGATAGGGAAAGGAGGACTCTATGGACAGGTAACACCGCTCCACTGTCAGTCTGTCAGTTCATTTTTTGCTGAGTAAGCTTGTGATATAAACACAGTTGGCACCTACATCAGAAAGCTTGTTGTTTTGTTGAAAACAAGTTAGACAGACATGTTTGCGTAGCATATTAAACACTTTTTTAAATGCTTTTTGGTAGTGGATTGATTGAAAAAATGCTCTGATTATTAAAAAAATTACTGCCACTGTTACAAACACTGTTGCAGCCTTTCAGCAGGACCATGTTTGGTAATTTTGTCTCGAGCTCTGCTCATCATTTATCAGTCTAAATGGTTCATTTTGGTATGTCAGGAAATTATTACACTGCAGGTAGTTTTTACTGGCTTTATAAAATAAAATACTGTAGGCATTTTTACTGCATAGCGATTATTATACTTAAATAAAAACATTGAATATGGGGCATATGTTTGTAACACCCCAAACACTGTGTCAAAATGCCACAATAGTTCAGACCTCAGTTTTTTAATTGAAAACGATTTAGTGTTCTTGGCTTTAAACATTTGTTATTTGCATTTAATTTTAACTGCAATAACGGCACAGTTTTCATTATGATATAAATGTCCATATGGGCTATTTCTAAACTGCAATATCTCAGAACAGAACCCCACAAAAGCCATGCCAAAAAAAGAACCAGGAACCACCACTGAATTCAGGAATAATATAATAATAAAAATGTTTAGTGGTTGTTTTAACCTATAACCTTTAATCTGATGAACATTGCTATTTCTGCTGTTTAACATATGCTCCTGAAATGTTTAAAGTGGCTTCGTCATTAGTATGCGACACAGAATGAAGCCCCTTACCTGGTTACACATTTTCCTGGTAATCTCTGCCGCTCCATAATCTCCCCTCCCCTTGTTTTCTGTTTTTTTTTACCTCTTCAGACCTTCCGCATCAAACCCCCCATGTGCATCACAATGGAAGACGCTGATTTCTTCCTGGCAGTTTTTAACAAGTCCATCCACAATTACATGGAAAGAAGATGAAAGTTAGTTTAAGGTCAGCTGGATTGCTCAATGCCAAACAGCAAACCTGGAAACCCACTCAGCAGTGTATTGCATTTTTTGGACATCTTTTAAAATGTTAAAAGTTATTTTCACTTTCTGAACCTTTGCATAGCAATTATGAAACTATGTTTAAATATGCTTTAATTAGAAGTATCAATACACTTAACATTCATAAGAAAAAGTATTGTACAGTGCCTTTCTAACAACTGACTTGAAGTTAATTTAGCTCTTTATGGATCTTCTTTATCATGCTTGGATGTAACATTGTGTCATCATTTTACAATTTGTAATTTCTCAACGCAATGTAATAATAATGAGTCTGTGAGCTTGTGGAACAACCATTTGTGCTATTACACATTGGTCACACTGCCCCCTGCAGGTATAGGTTCTACTGTTCTACCTATTTGTGGTATGGAAGCCAAAAATGGCTACAGGTTTGAATTATCTTTTTAATCCCCAAATGGCATAATTGCCATTCTTGCCTGATACCCTGTATATGGGTGACCTAACTGATATATAATTCAGTTTTTCAGCCCACTGAAGGGCAACCAGTTCAAGATTCTTAGACTTACAGTTGCTCATTTTGTGTTCAGGATATTTAAGGCCCCTGCCAGTGAATGCTATGGGTTGTAATTTACCCCCATAATCTTGGGAACGCACTACCTCAAACCCCCATGACTCTCATCCACCTCCAACATAAGTGGCTTCCAGAAAATCTGTTTAAGCAATTACAGTTGTTGCAATCTGTCCTTACACACAGAGTCTTAAGACTTCTGCCCCTTTGCTTGATCCTATCTGGATGATTTGTCTTCTCTATCAAGTCTACCTGGTGTTGATCATTACCTGTTGTCTGAAGTAAAGCTGAACATTTTACTTTAACTAAATGGTCTCTGAGTTGTGACTTTTGGTCCAAAATTTCTTTACAGATTTGTTACAAAATGGGAAGGGCTCTTTTTTTCTTCTTTGCAGTCCTGTCTGTAGTATGTGCACATTCATATGCTTCCTTTTTTTTTTAACCTGAAGTATTGGAGTCAAATGAGGACTATTACTTTCTCAAATGATTAAGCTCAGTTAGATCAGTTAATATGATTCCATCCCAATTCAGACTGGAAGGAAAGGTGTTCAATTCCCCAGAAGAATCCCATGTGTTACCAACACCATAGTAGGATCCATTGTTTCTTACTTCCTTGTGATTCTTAAAGTCAAATTCTGGTTCATTGGGTGTAGGTGTATGATTATAAATATAGGTTATACAACCCTGAAATTCCACAAAAACCTTCATTGGACATCACTCTATCAGCATCCTAGCAGTTTGAAATGTGACCATATCATGATCAGGTTTCAAACAGGCATCATTTTACCTCACATTTGTAAGAAGAACATGAGTTCTTAAGTCTCCTTTCACCAATGAGGCTTACACCTCTTACAGAAACAAACCCAAAGCTCAGAGCCGTATGATTTGTGCAATTCAAAATGAATTGAGTTGTATGCGTTCCTACTAATTACACAAGGTATCATTTTCTCATAGTTTCTGTTTGAATCCCTCCTTAAAATAGCAGACATCCAAAGGCCACATCCAATTCATTGTGACAAAAACAAGTAACAGTCAGACACTTGGAAGTTTGTCACTGTTAAAACTGAATATTTTTCTCAAAGAAAGTCTATAATTTTGGTGACTAACAAACATCTATATCTAACTAACTATCCAATTCAACCTCCCCCTCGGTGTTTACCAACTAGACAACTAAGCCCCCAGCGCTTTGTTCTCAGCTCCTTCCTGTTCATGGTGTACAAGACTGAAAAGAACTCAGAGAGAACGCTGTTGTGGAGTTTGTGGATGATGCTACCATCATCAGCCAGGTTTCAACAACAGCAAGTCTTGGCAAACTAGAAAGTAAGCTGAATATCCGTGGGCAAGTCACTCAACCTCACCTGATGTCATGGCAAGAATGGCTACAATATGATAGTGTTGTTTGGCTCTTTGTTCGTTTCCCATTTACAGAGCCAGGGTTGTGTACAAATACCAGATTTGTTTTAGCACACACAAAACAAACAGCTATCAGACTATGAGGAGATATTTGCTGAATTTAGAAAAAAGTGTATTTCATTAAAATCGCATAGCCTACCTTTAAAGTTCACAGAAATGAACAATGGAATGTGTTTATCACCAATGAAAACAGTACATGAATGTGTGCTGTGGAAGTGCAAAACCAAAACAAGTAATGCAGAGTGGATGAGCGATAAAGGAAGGGAGAAACAGAGGGAACACATTGGACCAGCTTTTATTGCTTAAGCTTCATCAGTCTGATTAATGTCCCACAAACAATTGCCTGGTGAGTTTGGCCAGAAGAGCCTCCAAGACATTAGAACATCACACTTTACACTTCTTCCTTTAGTGCTACTTTTATAGAGTTAATGTATTGCCCAATTTGTTGTTTATAATCTATTCTAATTTATATATATATTGTTATAATATTTGAATATCTGTTTATATTTTATTTGTTTGTAGCAAGGAGGGGGGCGTGAATGCGTGTAATCCGGCATTGTATAATGACCACTAAAAACACTTGAACCTTGAATCATACTCCCACTCACCTGTGCGGGGCTATTTTCTTCTCTGGCCTCCAAACAGGAAAGAACCAGAACCATCCAACACTGACTTGCATTCTTCCTAAACTCAATTCCCAATGAGTGAGCATGTAGTGGAAATAGTGAGCAGGTGCCACTGGTTATATATTTATCCATGTGACGTTGCAGAAAAATCATTGTAGTTTGGTGGGATCAGGGTACCATTGGCTGCGCACTGTCCACCCATCCATGTCACTTTGTAGAAAAAGAAAAACCTGAAGTGAAGAGAGTACAATAGCTAAGTGCCATCTGTACTGTACCTGCTCAACATGTATAAAGTTGCTTCCTGTCTAAGTGGCCGCTATGCAGGTCTCATGGGACAGTCCTGCTGTTCACCTGGTTTGGCCAAATTTCACCTGGGAAGTGGTGAGTTACCATGGAGATGAACAAAAAATATGATTTGTTGGTCTGATGCTGATGCTTCTGTGTAGGAGGTTTATTATGGACCCTTTGTTTTTGTGATAGTAAGTGTAGAGATTCAGGTGACCATCAATTTTTCTGGTGAATTTGATCAGCTTGTTGGCTCATTAATTAATTAGCTAATATATTTTTACAAGATAACCTGTGTAAAACTCAGGGATAAACATAAGTTTAACTGCTGCAGTAGATCTTTTTCCTTTATTTCATTTGCAGGTGTTTTATTTAACTTCTTTTTGTTCTTAAATTAGTTTTTTGTTTATATCTACAATTTCTTTAAAGTCTTTAACTTTTTTTTTAAAGCCCTTTGTAACCTTGTTAAAAAAGTTCTATGTAATAATGATACATATATATACATATATATGTATGTATATATATGTTATTGTTATTATTATCATTATAAGTTGGTGTACCACACTAGGTAATATATTCACTGCTATTCAAAAACAGACTTTATCAGGTACATTATGCAAACAATGCAAACTGTATTAGATTAAATGACAGCAAAAAAAAAAACATAATTCTGCACACATTGCAGTAAAATACTTTTCTGTCATATTATCTCATTTTAAACATGAGGGTTAAATTGAGGGTGCGTGGTAACATGTGATTTAGACTTGTACAAAATGGAAATTTTTCTGTGCTCAAACTAAATGTTTCTCCAGATGGTAAAATATATATAAAAAAATAGTTTCATCTCTCAGTCGGACCAGTTTTAACATTTTCTAGCCTTTGGTAGAAAAACAGGAAGTAGTTTGCACAATGTGAAGTTAATGTGGTAAATATTGACCAGATAATTCAGAATGTCATGCATCAATTGAAGTTACAACCATGATGTGCAACAACAACTTTACATCAGAGCAGTAGCCTGGTTCCAGGTTTCTGAATTGCTGTCCACATCTACAATTTCTTCAATGATTCCATGGCAATTCACCAGTACATGGCAATTCAATGTGATACAATATAGAGTCTAGAATAAATTTCAAGTCCTTGGGGAAAATGTCACGACAGATTGTAACACAAAAAAATGCCCCAAATGTCACCAAAATGTCTTTGATGGATTTGGATTTCTTGAAAAACTAAATAATCTCCTTTACCTATTTTCTGAATTTCAACTGAAATCATTTCACAGGTGCAGTATGTCAGAAATCCGCCCTCAAATACCGTCCGGCAGACCTCCCAGAGCTGCCGCCATGCAATTTCAAGCCAGATGAATACAAGGTAAAAGGAACTTGCATCCAGAAATGAATTCCAAAATTACATATAATTTGGCTGAAAGGTGAAATATATTAACAGAAAAGCAGAGGGCCAAGAACATCGCCCTGAACTACTTTAAGTCATAAATACTGGTGTAATATTATTATTGGAAACACATTGTGTTCTTTCAGATAGGTAAGTTTTTAACCAAGAGAGAACCTCTCTGCCTCTCAGCTTCTCCCTCCTGCCACATTCCCACTTCTTGGAATTTTTTTTTGCCTGTTTTGGACTGCCTCTCTTGTGCCTCTGTCATCTGCATTTGGGTCCTACCCAGGTAGTCTCCTTTGCTGTAATTCTTCTGTGTATCTTTGTCTCTTCAGGGTATGTCCAAGGGGCAGATGATGGAGATCCGCAGACAGAATTGCAACCCAGTGACCATGAAGATTACCTATTATAAGAAACCAATGTTCATCCACCAGGGACACATGCAATGGCTGTGGGATGTGGATGGGAGGCGATACCTGGATCTGTTTGCTGGCGTGGCTACAGTCAGTTTGGGCCACTGCCACCCGTAAGGTCCTCCTTCGCTGTGTTGCACAGTGGTGTTTTATTCTGATTTACAGTTTGAGCTCAAAAATGTTTGTTTTTGTTTTGACCCTGATATCTGTGGATACAGGAAAGTGACAGCAGCCGCACAGAAGCAGTTGAAGACCCTGTGGCATACTACAAACATCTACGTCCATCCTACTCTCCATGAGTATTGTGAGAAACTAGCGTCCTACTTACCAGATCCTCTTAAGGTACCATAATGGATATTATCACCTGAGTGCGTGAGCCTGGATAAATATGTAGACTGTATTAAAATGCTTGCTGGTCTGTGTTCCCCTGTCCAGGTGATATATCTGACCAACAGCGGCTCAGAAGCCAATGACCTGGCTATGTTGATGGCTCGACTTCACACAGGCAACTTTGACATCATCACTTTCAGGTAGAAGTCTTGTGTGCTATATAATTACATGAAAGTAAGAAATGTTTTTTTTTAGTAATACGTTAAAACGTTCAAAATGTTTCTTTTTTTGTTTTTTACCTTCCAGAGGGTCATACCATGGTGGCACCCAACAGACAATGGGTCTTACCTCCAACATGCCATATAAATACCCTATTGCTACAAGTTCAGGCTGCACGCATGTATGTATACATTAATGTATTGCAGTGTCATACGTAGCAATTTACGACACAAAGCACATTTTAATTCATGCTTTAATTAGGTTGAATATATTGTTGCACTACACCATCATATTTCAACCTTGTGCAACCAATAAGAGTTGAGCAAATGAACCATGTGCTCCACCCAGTTATTATCTTGTGTGCACAAATTATCTTATGTGGAAATAATAATTTGTGTCTACAAGATAAAAAAACAAATCATGTTAAGGGCTCCATATTATGCAGCTGTTAGCTGCTTAGCATTAGCTGCACCACTATCCATACAAACAAACAGGAGAAGCTATACATTAATGCTAGCTTTCTTTTTTAATGCTGTGGGAGCATTCCAGGTTTCATGATGATTACTTTGTGCTGATTACTTATGAGTGACTGTTGCTGTCAGGTTGATCAGCTGACTATATTTCTGCCCAATAAACAGACCATGTGTCCTGATGTGTTCAGAGGCCCGTGGGGAGGAAGCCACTGCAGGGACTCTCCTGTGCAGACCATCAGAGACTGTAGCTGTGCCCAAGGTACACAAGCACATGCACCCAGGACTCAGTACACTCCGGTTATCTCTCTTGCTGCTCTCATTAAGTCTGTGGGAATATGTATTAGGATCCCTTCTGCAATATTCCCACAATAAATTAATATATGTTCAACTTTCACAGGAAACCTCCTGCTTTGTAAGAGTGAATGCTTGACCTTTGAGAATGTGTGGTCTTGGTCCAAGGTGAAAGGAAATGTATAGTGTATGCCTAATTTATTTTTCTGTGTAGCCCTCGGTAACGGCTCGAAGGGACATTTTAGTTAAAGTTTAGTTATTTTGCAAGCAGTTAATTTACTATATTTATGTAGTGTAGAGCATTTTGACAAAAATCTGTTGCCTTTTTCAAACTTTTTCCTGAATGTCACGAAGGTGAGACAGGTAAGTTTTAATCCTGATAATCAGACAAAACAAGTTCTTTATAAAGTCTCCTTCTTTTGATTCTTTTCCTCTTTTGACATTATACAAGTTTCAGGAATTTTAGCTGTATCGTATGCCTGTGTCTCAACAGTCCACCTGGAAATGGTCAGTATTTTATCATATCTATATGACTATTTATATTCAAAACACACACAACAGTTACACTGTAAAATAAAATATATGAACACCAGATTTAGTAAAATTAGGCAGTTGTAATCGTAGGCCATAAGGACAAAATATTTACGAAAATATTTGAAATCAGATGAATTTCCTATTCATCCCATCAAGTCAACTTGTTTTATTAGAACTAAATCCTAGATACTAATTCTTCCAGAAAGTGCCTGTTCTCAAGTATTTTATATATATATATATATATATATATATATATATATATATATATATATGTCATGCTGCAACGTATTTGAATAAGATTTAAAGTGTAATTTATTTAAAAGATTTAACTTGACGTCAGAACTGTGAATCATGGTATTGTGATATGAGAGATCAATACTTTTATATTGCATTGTATTGAATGGAAACAATTTATTGAATAATTACTCACCTCTAGGCTGTTGTAAAGCCATAAATATTGCATTTATACATACTAATTTGTGTATAATTACTGTCACCAAAATAATTTTCTTTGATCCCACAGGTCATTGCATGGCAAGTGAACAATACATTGGACAGCTCAAAGAGACATTTGCCACAAGTGTCCCAAGTCGAATTGCTGGTTTCTTTGCAGAACCTATTCAGGTACTATATTTTGTTGTGGAGTGCCTTATGGGTGTGATATTTGCAAATAAAAACATGCATTTATAGAGAAATGTGCTTTCTTTCTACAGGGAATGGGAGGAGCTGTGCAATATCCCAAAAACTACTTAAAGGAGGCTTACAAACTTGTGAGAGAGAGAGGAGGGATCTGCATTGCTGATGAGGTGAGTTACGATGTAACAAGGCTACGGTCAAGCACTACTGGCCTCTATTATAAGGCTCGAAAGGTAAAGGTGAAAATGTGGTGGCAATTTGTGATAGCAAGTTACTTGGCAGAGCCTGTTTGTATGTTCAAAGTAGGTTCAATATTCATGGTTCAAGGTTTTATTGTCATTTTACAATACAGGATTGCACAAGATAATGCAGTTATAGCCCCCTGCATGCTATACACGAAGGACATGTATAAGCAGATATTCAAATATTTAATTTTATTAATTTATTTAACCTTTATTTTGTTAATAGTCAAAAGACATTATGGTAAAAGAGGTTATGATAACAGTATTTAAAGTCACAGACCTTGACAGCTAACTCATTTAACAGATTTTAGAATTTACATAAAAGAGACTAGAGCATTCAACTTGATGGTATCTTGAAACTTATCCCAGGATATAATAATTAATAATACAATAATTAAAAGCAGTTTTTTACCAGTTTGATGTTGACTTGAGGGACCTCAAGAACTAACCAATCCTGATATCTTGTCTGGTAGTGAATTGTGCACCATGTAATGAAGGATAACAGTATACAAGGCAGCTTATCTAACATTGCTTTATAAACATACAGCAATTGCTGTTTTCTCCTGGTCTCCAAGGGACGACAATCCTACTGCCTGATAAAGAATACAATGATGTGATCTAAAATGATTACCAGTAATGAAAACAAAGTGCTGAATGATAAACAGTGTTTGCTTATGCATCACTTTGCCAGACGGCAGCAGGGTGAACAGGCTGTGGCTGGGGTGGGAACTGTCTTTTGGTGTCCTTTGTGTTCTGCACAGGCACCTCACCACTATTACTTGTGCTCAGTGACTTTAATCATCCACTTCCATCTTTTTAGCACTAATGCTCGCATCATATATCATGAAATTTAAGTTGGAAAAATGCAAACAAATTGTGCCTGACAGGTCCAGACTGGATTTGGGCGAACAGGAAGCCACTTCTGGGGTTTCCAAGGTCATGAAGTCATTCCTGATATGGTTACAATGGCAAAGGGCATTGGTAATGGATTCCCAATAGGAGCTGTTGTTACAACACCAGGTGAGATAATACTGCGGGACATACAATCCTCCTTTGAAATTCATCGAAACATTAAACACAGTTAATTATTTCTGCTTTTAAACAGTCAAACAACACTAGAAGAGATGACAAATATGATCTATTTGAGTCTGGAAAAACATTTTCAATCTGTAATAATTACACAATCATACCGCAGCTGTGGAACATTTGTATGTACGTGTCACAGAGTAATAATGGTCACTTCAATTGAATGTGCAGTACATTGGCTCTGCCTATGTTTGTGCTGACCAAATATCAGGTTCAAATTAAATTGTCATTTCAAAGATAAACAAATACAGCTGAATAAAATGCTGTTTTTCTCAGGGCCAGAATATACGAAGAAAACAGAAAACATTGTCAGAATTCATATGTTTGTTATGGTACAGCCTTACAGCCTTGAAATAAGTATGTCTGCTTCTGCGAATGGATATGGACTCACAGGTTGCTCAGGTGTTATTTATTTAGATAATAGCTCTCTCACCAATCCTTCGATGACCCACTGTTTCATTTTCCATGTGGCTATAAAACCCTACTGGGTGTAATTTAAAAGTTCAGAAACCAACGTGAAAACTCTGATATTTCTGCCAATCATTTGTAACCGATGTAGTCTGAGAAAATATATTTTTAAGTGTTAATTTGAGGCAGCGGTGAGTGGAGATGTGAGTTTGATTATTTGTGTGTTTTCCAGAAATTGCTGCTTCTTTTGGAAAGGCCTACCACTTCAACACCTTTGGGGGAAGTCCTATAGCTTGTGCCGTCGCTTCATCAGTGCTTGATGTAAGGATTAATCTCGGTTTTCTACATCAGGCCTGTTAGCACAAGAGAGTTTTAATTTGATTGAAATCCAGTCTTGTATTGTTACTGTAGCTGAAGTTGAAGAGGTCATAACAAGCACACTGAATTACAGTGCATGTTTCTTTTTTCGGCTACACTTATCTGCTCTGTAAATCATATCCTGTGTGAGGAAAAAAACATTGGGGCGAACCAAAAGAGAGAAATGTATATTTTATCTTATATGTTATGGTATATTATATATTTTTTAAATTATGGTGCCTCCTACTTTTACATTAAGTTCATCATCCGTCTACATAGATTGAAGTTTCAATACAGCCAATCAATTCATTTTATTTGAAACAATATTTGCATAAACCAGTAATGTCACATCATCAAGCAGACACTGATACTGACAAACACCTCGACAGCAGCCTGCTACACAACACAAGAGCCGCAGATTTAAAAACCACCCACAGCATTCCTGCTCATCTTTCTCCTTCTTATCTAACTTAAAAACACAGAGACACGCATTGTCCTGCGCCTAAGCTTGTCGAACGAGCGACCAAACAGACATTCCCTGGAGAGAAATGCAAAGCAAACATCAGTTTGCAGGCTAGTTATTTGATCAGCTGTAGCACATTAAACAGCATAAAAATCTAACTGCAAATATTTGGCCTGTTTTGTTTTTCAGTTTGGTCCTTGCTCTCAATATCACAGCTAACAAAGCAGTGTCTGCCCCATGACTTATAAGCCACAGCGCAACTTTGTTTGCTTTGTCTATTGTTCCCCTGCCAGGGTTTTAACTTGTTCAGCTTTGACGTCCTTTGACCTGAGAGTTTGTGACTTTGACCAATAGCAAGCTGCCTTGACACTTGTGCTGACCTTTGAGGGGACTGCAAAGCAAGCAGAGCAGTGGTTTAATGAGACTAGAGTTGATGGTACAGTCATGTCTTTTGAATAAACTGTGTGAACTTTTCCTGCTAGTGACTGAGGTGAGCGAACCAGCTAAAGAGAAACAGTAGAGAGAAACTGGAGAGAATCTCAGAGAGCTATTTTCACTGCAGTTAGCTTGCCATGCCTTGAAAATAAAACTATTAACAATAAGACACTGATTATGATTTATAAACCAAACATGACTAACACTCAATGTTCTTACTCAACAGACTATCAAAGAAGACGGCATACAGCAGAACAGTCACAATGTGGGCACCTATCTGTTGACTGAACTGGCAAAACTCAGAGACCAGCATGAGATTATCGGTGATGTGCGTGGAAAAGGCCTGCAGATCGGGGTGGAAATGGTCACAGACAAGGTATGGCGCTTGTAACAGAAGTGACGCCTGCGCTGGGTCCCCGGGGGCCATGGTTCAACTCAGTTAACCTTTATGCAGCAGTGATGAACTGTAACTATGAAGAGAAAAATCAGCTGAAGTTCAGACATGTTCTTTTGGTTCAGTTAAATCTGGAAGATACTGAATTAGAAAAGGGAAGAGAGAGAGAACCAGAAACTTCTCAAATATCACAGTTGCCCTACAGCAAATACAAATTTGGGTTAAGCTTAGTGAAACACTTAGTTCTCTCACTTACTAACCCTTTGTATTTGTAATTTACCATATTCTCTGCTAGAAAAGCTTGTATAGTAAAAGTTTGGTTAGACCCTTACCAAGATCTGCACTTAGGTAGGTTTCATGACCAATGGCTGAAAAAACACTGTCAGACTTAGTAACAAATAAACATTATTATCATCCATCCATGTCACCCATGTATTACTTTAAGGTTTATTAAGGTTTTTCTGTTAGTTTGTCGCAGTTGTTCCCCACAGCGAATCAAGGAACTGACCAACCCATCATGCGCAATACCTGACACTATTCATTCATGGATAAATGTCTTATCCAACTCTATTTTCTATTGTGAAGAATGTCCTTTAGTACAATGAATTACATTCCAAGTGAGTAACTGATCTTCGGAGATTATTTTCTGCTACCTTGTTTGAACCCCTCGACCATTATTAACCTGGAAACTGTTGATGTAGTAGCCAGTAGTCAGGCCATTTTGCTTGAAGTGGTTAGTTTCTCAGACACAGGCAGATGAAAATGTTCATAATGTTATTTACTTGATAATAGTTTAATGTAACAGCTCCAGCCACATCCACATATTTATCTCTCCTCTATCATCCACAGGTCAGCAGGAGCCCGCTGTCTCCCGAGGCAATGAGTGAGATCTTCGAGGACATAAAGGACATGGGAGTCCTGATAGGGAAAGGAGGAGTCTACGGACAGGTAACCACACCATCCTTAATGTAGCCCGCCCCTCTTGTCACTTTATTTTGCAGGGTCACCGGCATGTTTTTTCTTTTTAGCCATATAATCCCAAACTCACTACATTGACCTTGTATATTTGAAGTAGAAACTAACAGTTGTTTGCTGCTATGTTAATGTTTTAAATCTCCTATATAAAAAAGCGAGAACTGCTGTTATCTTTGCTTTTCAACAGTTTGTTTAATTGTGAATTTAACTTTAAGTTCCTGTATTTGTGCCCTTGTTTAGCATCTTTCTCACTTTTTTCATCGAACGGCTTTGTTTTGTAACTAATTTAATGAAACTACGACCTTATTCTCATTACATTATGACATAAAATATTACAACTTTCTTCTAGAATTGTCAGATTTTTATGAACAGTGGCCCCAACAGACAGTCGAATACACAGCCAGAACCCACATTGCAAAGTAGATTGTTGTCGAGATCAAGCAAGCAAGTAAAAACATGTTACACAAGTTGTTGGTATGACTTGTTTTTTTTTCACCCTGCATCAACAAAGACCCGGTTCCTTTTAGTATTGGCTTGATAAAAGGTTTCAAACAAAGAGATTTCCTCCCGGTATTCCATGGTACCTTTAATCATTTTGTGTCTGTTTGATCTAGCTGTTGTAGCCTTCGATTAACCCCATCTCTGGTAGTTGTGCCTCCATCTCTGCTCTTAACTCATCACTGTGAAAGCAGCAGATTGCCTTCACTAGCTTCAGAAAATAAACGCTGCAGATATTTTCATTTTATTATTATCCCACTAGAACAAAAATAGAAGCATACGGGGCTGTTGTTGTTAAAAGGAAATTTACTGCGGAGTCAAAATGTCACTGCCAACACACCTCGTCTCTGTTAAAGAGAAAAAGAGGTATAACATGAAAAATAATTGCATTGAAAATGTATTTATTCACAAAGCAGCAATGAATGTATCAGCTGTAAAGCTTTGCTCTTACCTTGGCCTTGCCTTTGAGAGCATTTTCTCATGCTTGAATAACTGTTACAATAATACCTCTTACAACAAATTCCAACTCACACAACAACATGTTGTGCTTTTTTACTGATAGATCTACTTAAACATTTTACCAGCCTATGATTACTCCCATCTCTAAATGAGTGTGCCTTCGGTATGTGACAGAGAATTAATGATCGCCCCACTTGTCTTCTGTTTTCTCACCACGTCAGACCTTCCGCATCCAACCCCCCATGTGCATCACCAAGGAGGATGTGGATTTCTTCCTGGCAGTTTTTAACAAGGCCATCAACAACTACGTCGACAGAAAATGAACGGATGTAACTCAATGCCAAGGACCAAACCTGGAAACCTGTTTGGCAGTGGCTTGCATTTTTGTAAATGCTTTAAACTGTAATGCTTATCATTTTGCTGACTGCTCTATTAGATGCACTTTAAAACTTAACTACGCATGTTATAATTATGAAGACACCTAAGCTGCTGCTTTGTAATTCCTTTTTTCTTTTATATTAAACACTCATTATTCAATACACTGGACAAACATCACAACTTGGAGGGAAAACATGTTGTGGTTAGGACACTGTTTTGTAGTTTAACACTATAGACAGTATATATATATATATATATATATATATATATATATATATATATATATATATATATATATATATATATATATATATATATATATATATAACAATGTAGTCACTGACTATACTAGGTATCTGAATGTAATTATCTCATGTTTGCTGAAACAGCTGTTTGTGCATTTACATATTGCTTAAATATGCCATTTTATATACCCGTCACACCAATAAAACTGCATTTAAAAAAGGTATAGGTGCATGTTTTGTACAGACCATTCCAACATACAGCAGTTTATTGTTAAAACAGGGTTATTGAGGCATTAATGCAAATCATTCCAGAGTTGTTGTATAAATACCAACATGCAGTATCACTTTTATTTTTATGATGCAGTAATACCACTTTTGAGCTCTTCATGACAAACCAAGAGAAATGATTCCATAAAACAGTAAAGGATCCGATGAAAAGGTGTTTGTTGTGTGCATACTGTATGGTTTTCTCAACTGGTTCATCAGTACAGAGGATTTCATAAGTTACTGGGAGAGGTACAGAAAACAGCATTCCAAGCTGGAAGAGTCAGACAGCAAAAAAGGAGTCTCTCACACATACACAGTTGTCTCAAAGAACATGATTGTGTAATTTAAAAAGGAAAAAAACTATTCGCTCTCTGTCAGCCAATCCGGTCCATTAACGTCCACTTTCAAAAGGCTTTTTTTTTTAAAAAGTTTATCTTCCCCCTGAGAGCCTTCTCGAGAGCGTTGCTTCCTGTGTCCCTGTCTCTTTCGGGGTTCATCAGCCCAGATGAATTATGTGTTATCTGTTCTTCTTCTTGTCTTTTTTGCTCTTGCTCACGGAGCTGTGAGCGGCATTTGAGGAGAGAGCGGAGGCATGGCCGGTGGTTTTCAGATGGTCAAACAACTTGTTTCTTGTGGGGAACTCGGTGTTACAGGTCACACAGTGGAGGGTTACTTCTTTCTGGAGGTGGAAAGAGAGATATGTGATTGAACAATATAAGTATGGATAATAAACATAATGTAAGAAGTGGTTATTACATGGATAATGGTCAATGCAAAGCACATAAAAGTCTGTGTTTTACTGTACAAACCTCAGGAAACTGTTCTCCTCCTGTGTGTGACTTGACATTCTTTGGTTTGTCTTTTCCTCCCTTCTTTCCCTTTGGCTTCCCAGGGCTGTTGAGGCAACATTTACAAGACAGATAAATATAAATCTGATTTCAATTTAAAACTCTTGGATAACTCATCTTGCATAATTGAATGCAGGAATTCACTGTGTTGCTTGCATCCCGTTTATCACACAAAGACTCCGGCAACTCCTTCACAACTGGCACTGAATTATTAGCACTGTTTTGAATCGCCATGTGCTCATGCAAGGGTTTTTAAATCTTTGATTAAATGAGGTTCCTGTTTTTCCGGAACAGTTGTTTCCTCTGTTTTGAATATTACGTCAAAAACTAAATGAGAACGGAAAAAGACCAGGAAAAGGAACCCACCAGACTTCACAAGTCTAACGAGGGGGCAAGCCTTTTAAAACACTGCAGGGAGATGTCAAACATTCGGAGCCTAATCTCAGTCTCAACACAGGTTGAGAAATGTAGTTTAAGTATTTAAAGCTGCACTAATTAACATGTTTATGCCAACAATAGATCAAATTTTAATGCATGAATGAATGTAATGTGAAACGTGTCAATTGTCATCTCTATGGAGCACTTTAGTGTCGTTCGGCTCATTATTTTGGTTTTACAGCCCACAACGAGCTCTCATCAAGCTTGTTTCCAACAAACAGATGCATATTTTCCTCAGGGGTTTTCCTTAGGGCGAAAAAAAAAAAAAAAAGTAAATATTCATCAGGCTGCCGGAAACACCACTCTTAATGAATGTTGTGTCAGCTGGATGAGTAAAAAGTAATTGATTGCAAAAAAATTCACCATCAACAATTTTCCAAGGTGATAATACGACATCTGCTGCCCCCAAGTGGCTGAAATGAAGAATCATTGCAGCATTACGGTAATAAATTCCATTTCCACCAATAGATCCTCCTAAATGTTTCACGCTGGACCATTAAGGTCCATTAATTCAAGGCCAAAAATTTGAAAATGCGTGGACACTGTAAAACCATCAAAATACTCACAACCAACAACCAGAGAACCAGGTGGAGATGGCAAAAAAACAAAACTGGACTTACGTCTTCACTTCAGTGGGAGGGGGATCCTCCTGCTCCTCCGGATCTGTAGGCTCCGCTGACTTCTCAGGGGCATCTTCCTTGCATCTGGTCAGCACTGGTTTTTCCTCCGCCTCCGCGTCCTCCTCTTCTGGAGCACTCTGCTACAGCGAAGGGGAGAACGAACAGAGAAAAGTTTTAAAAGATAGATTCACTTCGCAGACATTGAGGGAACACTGAAAAACAGGCACAACTGCTAAGAGAAAGAAAAATATATAACTCACATGTACTACTTTCTGCTGTTTCTTTTTCCTTTTCTGCTTTTTGGACAGCCTGTGTAGGTGGAAAGAGAAATGTCATTGAAGACAAATACGAAATGGCATACAAGTCTAAATGTGTCAACAAGTTCTAACCACCCTGACAACCAGGTGAAAAGTAAGGTTTCTTTCCATTATCACATTCAGCTACATACTTTTGCCTTGGCTTGTCATCCTCCTCCCCCTCTTCCTCCTCCTCCTCTTCCTGCTCATGCTCCTCGTCTCTTCTCTCCTTCCCATCCAGGTTTAAACCAAGTGAATCGTCTTCTTCCTCCAGCTGTTGCCGCAGCAACGCCACCATCTCCCGGTGCTTTTTGGATTTCTCATGGTTTTTCATACTGTAGAGAAGAAAGAAAATGAACAGAGATTTAAAAGCCCATTAGGGATTTGTATTTTTATCGCCAACAAGTATTGACCTGACGTAATCACTTGAAGTAATTATTGACATTTCTCCATGGAAATCAGAAATTAAAGAGTTAAACCCACAGCAATGAATCATTTCAAAAACTACACAATTTGTCTGAAGTGTGCACGACTAGTAGTGAAGAGTAAGAAAATAAAAAAACGCTGCACAAACAATAGCTTCAACATCCCCAACAAGTTGATGAGTCAGAACGGAATCAAAAAATTCTCTCAACACATTTAAACAATGGCTACGACTGACCTTGTTATTCAAGTTTGACAATTACAGCTTTTCTCCATTGTTTGGTTAGGAACAAAAATACCTTCACCACAGAGCAAAAAGAAGGAAAAAGGCATGTTTCAACAGTCCACAACTGCAATCATTTAGCAGTTAAAATTAACCTAAGATTTTTTTAGGCCATAGATTCTGTCACCTCACACCTACTGTTTTATTATTATATTGTGACACTTTAGATAAAAATAAGCTTTGTGTGACTTTGAACGCCTTTGTCATGGGCACAGCCCGTGTCAGCCACATGTGATGAACCGTTTTCAGTGCTTTGTGTGTATGCCAAGTAGGATGTGTGGTCCTAGATGCCCATCCCACTTCCTGGTTTGCATCATGAAGATCCTGATTGGAGCAGCATATTGCGCTCTTCACCACTGCATCAGTGCATTTCAACACTGTGCTGATAAAACGTCACTAAAATCATTCATGGCCTAGTGAGATGAATTAGCATGTAGGTCCAAAAGACAGCAAGTAGGTGAAGTGGGCGGGAAGTCACTCACGCTTTATCTGATTTGAAGGATTTGTCACAGGCTGGGCAGTACAGATCATCATAATAGTCAATTGTGAGTTCGTCTCCATCAGGCTGCTCTGCATCTGTGAGTGAAAATACACAAAAACAAGACAAGGACTTTATACTTCACTGACGAACTTTTATTCAAACATAATTTGTCAATTTAACTCTGTGGAAACAGCTGGCATTGGTTTGCCTGATGTTGTGTGGAGTATTACTGGCTGCCTTTGAGATCATTAAAAATTAAAGTGTAACCTTACATTTAAACTACAGTTGACGGTGTATAAATACAGCCTAATGGGATGATGGTACGTCTTAAACTTTTTTAATTTAGAGGGACTGACGACAAACAGGTGGCTCTGACAGTGGTTAGTTTGCAAAAGTGTTAGCCCTAAAGGTGTTAATGGAGGTCCTGTTGTAGGTTTTGACTCACAGTTCAGCCTTTAATTTCTTCCGTTAATAACACAGATGGTTGTATCCTCCATGATCAGGTTGTATAATCCTTTACTTATATTCCCCACAGTATCTGTATTTACTTTCACACATTTACTGAGTATGGGAGTGTTCCATGCAGTCACTGTATTCAAGTTGTTTTATTCACTGTAATAGAAATCTGGTGTTGCAGTGACCTGAAGGTCTGCATTGGAGATGGCCTTGCTAGATGTGCGTGACTAAAAAGAAACCTGCTTCACTCTCAGCTATCTCTACCAGCATCAATAACACAAGCAGTCCGTGTTGACCAATCACAGTTCTTAATGTGCAGACGCATTTTCATTTCAGCCTGACGCACGTTGCTGCTGTAAATACAACAAAACCCATTAATTTAGACGTAAAAATGATTCTTAAATCTCACTGACCTCCTCCCTCTTCACTGTTCTCTTCTTCCTCACTCTCCGATGCATCTCCAAACTCCTCTCCGTACTGAGCCTCTATCTGCTGCAGCTCCTTCTCAAGTTCTGACATGGCCGCCCAGCTCTGCTCCTTGTACTCCTCCGCCAGTCTTGGATGGACACACAGTATATTATTATGAGTACGAGGAAGAAATATAGAAAAATCAATCTTATATTTATTCAACTAAACAACAGTAAAGCCTGCACACTTACTCACTGCCACAAAATTTTATTTATTAATGACTAATGTTTCGATCCAAGACCCGCCACTCTGACCTGACAAAGATCCATCTTGGATCAAGACGTCATTAATAAAAGATATCTTGGGGGCAGTGAGTATCGTTTATTAACTGATGCCTTTTTCTGACAGCCTTGCACCTGAGTGATGTGTATACACTTTTTTCCTTCTACATTTTCTCAGCTATCCATCCATCCTATTTACTTGGCCTGGCTGAGCTTCTGCTTCCGCCTCAGCTCCTCCACCTTCTTGATCTTCTCAGCGTTCTGCTCCTCCACCAGCTTCCTGTGGGCCTGCACACGGCGGTCACGCTTGCGTACAAAAGCCACTAGTTGTCGCACAAGCTCGTTGCGCTCCTTTCGAGCCTTCTCTCTGGTCTTCTTGTTCTCCTTCTCCATGGCCCTTTTCTCCCAGCGGTTGGAGGCCTG